TTTTATTTTATTTTATTTTAAATGTTTTAGTGCGTTACGTTATCTAATTAGAAAGGTATTCGTTCAATACATCAAGATGCATTTTATTTTTAGTGTTTTATTATATTATTTTTTGTCTTAATCGATGTTATAATACGGTTTTATATGATTTTGAGAAAACAATACTATTTTTTATTTTTAAATAAAATATAAATATGTAGATATCATAAAAATTGAAAAAAATATTGACATTAGTACCAAACAGACTATTTAAAAAATAAAATTTCTCGTTTTTTGTGTATTTTTTTAAATTCATTTTTTTTATTTTTGGTTTAATAATATTTTTTTTATAAAGATAATAATTAAAGATTTTGTTAGAACTGAATTATTATCTTAATTATATTTTAGATTTTTTATATTTAAAATGAGATGTTTATCTTCTATTTGATTATGTTTATCTGTATTTAGTTACATGAATTCAAACATGAAGTTTTAATAAGTTGTAGTTATGCACAATTTACTTATAATTTTGAACTTTAACTAATATGAATCAATAAACAACACTTAATACATAAAAATAGTTTTTAAAAGTTTTTGTCAAATACGTTATAATATAATATAGATAGTATCTATTAATAATTTTTTCTTTATTTAATGTTCAAAAGTCAAGTATTTAAAAGAATTATATTTAACACAATCAAATTCTCTGATTTAAATATTAATATTTAATAATTTTATAATCTCAATAACTTAAAAAATTGTATATAAAATAATAAGAAGAAGAAAAAGAATTTTATCTATACTATATTATAAAACGTTTAACCAAAAATTCTTAAAAACCATTTTTATGCATGCAGTATAGTTTATTTATGCACATTACTTAAAATTATACATAAATACAACTTACTAAAGCTTTATGTATGAATTCATGTAACTAACTGCAGATAAACATAATCAAATAGAGGATAAACATCTCATTTTAAATATAAAAAATTTAAAATATAATTAAGATAATACTTCAGTTCTAACAAAATACTTAATTATTATCTTTATAAAAAAATTATATCATTAAACCAAAAATAAAAAAAATAAATTAAATAAATATACAAAAAATGAGAAATTTTAAATAGTTAGTTTAGTACTAATATCAATATTTTTTTTTCCAAATTTTTATGATATATTTATATTTATATTTTATTCAAAAATAAAAACATTATCGTTTCTCAAAACTATATTATAACATCGATTGAGAGAAAAATAAATAAAACAAAACATTAAAATCGAAATGTATCTCGTTGCATTGTGCGAATACCCTTATAATATAATTAATATATAAAATCTATTATAACAAAATATAATACAAAACCTCAATTTCTCCAGATGTTTTTTTTTTTATCTGTTAGGACTTCAATCATCATCCATAAAAGTATTTTAAACCATATGTTAAGTTAATTATTGGATTTTTATACATAAAAAAATATACATTATTTATAAAATACGTGTTGATTTGAATATATGAACGTATTCAATAAATACACATTAAAATTTATATTGTGATATAATATAATGGAAAATGACAATTACATCAATAATTCAAATTAAATATCTTTTATTTTAATCAATAGAAAATGACAATATATTTCCTTTTCTAAATTTTATCCATTCATTTTTAATTGTATTTTAGCTTTGGAAAATTAAAAGCTATTGATCAAGACTTCGCTTAAGTGGTGGGAAGGAATTATGGTCATTTTGTTAGTCGACTTTGTATTTTTGTCTTTATATATAATAATTTAATACAGATAAATTTATGATTTATAAGTTATAACAGATTAATCCATCATTTATTTATTTACATCTATAATATGTTATAAAACATTCGATAAAAACTCTTAAAAATCATTTTTTTATACACGAAATGCTGTTTATCGATACATATTATTTAAAATTCAAGATTATAAGTAAATTTACGTAAGTATAACTTATATAATCAAATATAAGATAAGTATTATTTTTAAATATAGAAAATCTAAAATATAATTAAGATAATCATTGAATTCTAACAAAATGTATAATTATTATCTTTATAAAAAAATTATATTATTAAACAACATAATAAATTACTTTGTTATTAAATATAATTAAATTATAATAAAAAGTTGAATTAAAGAAGTTACACAAAAAAAACGAGAATTATTAAATAATTATTTGATGCTAATATCGATATATATTTTTTTTCAAAATTTTATGTTATTTTTAAATTTGTATTTCATGCGAAAATTAAAACATTATTCGTTTTCTAAAAGCCACATAAAATCGTATTATATCGACATAGACAGAATAAAAATTAAATATTAAAATCAAGATTTATCTCGCTATATTGTGCGAGTACTCTATTAGTGAATTAAAATAAATCTGATGTAATTTGTTTTTTGGGGTACGTTGGATTTTAACACCGACTAATTTTTCAGACGACTACTAATGCCTGGATGTAAAGAATTGGTTAAGGAAAATATGAAAAATCATAGTTTAGAGAAAAATAAACTAAATCATTAATATGAGAAAATTAAATGAGAATTTTGAAGCATTACCGACAACTATGTTATAATTATGAATTTTTTCATTTATAAACTAAATCATTAATATAAAGGGCAAATTACATGAAAAAGTAATGTACTTTAACTTGATTCTTATTTTGGGTAACATATTTTCAAAACTTTCATTTTGGTACCTAAGATGTAAATTTTTAAACATTTAAGTACCCGGGTAACACGGAAAGAATAATTTTAGACTAAAAAAAAGACTAATTTTAGATTTTAAAATATTCACGTCACTGACCACGTCAGCAAATAATACCGAGTTGGATATCACATTACTCGCCACATCAGCATGATAATCGGTTAATACTTCAATTAGTTACCCATGTACTTAAATGTTTAAAACTTTACATCTTAGGTACCAAAATGAAAGTTTTGAAAGTACGTTTCTCAAAATAGGAATCAAGTTAAAGTACGTTTCTTTTTCATGCAATTTGCCCTAATATAAACTACACAAACTAATTAATTGTGATATTTGTATAAATGATGAGAGTTTTATTTATTATGATTTGAATATTTATGGAAGATTATCACAGTTTATTTATTATGAACAACACTTTTTATTAGAAGCAATCAAAATATATTCATTAAAATTAAATAGATTGTTGAGATTGATTTGCAATATTTAATCTATTATGTCTGTTTGTAAATAATGCACGCTTTACATATATGTTTGTTTAAACATATCTTAAAAAATAAAATTTTCATTAGCTATATATGCACAATTAACAACTGCTCATAAATTTTACTAGATCAAAATTTACATGGCTGTAACTATATGAGCAACAGATTGATTACTGACAATTTCGACCGGTCCACATGGAACATGCCTCGTAAGAATCACATATGAAAAAACATTTCAAAGCGTACTCAACGGATAAGGCAAACGAAAGGGTTCAAGCCCGTTTCTCGTTAGATTCGGTTTTTCAATATGTTGTGTACTTGAATAAAATAATTTAATAAAACAAAAAATAAAAAATTCACAATCATGAAAATTAAAGTAGTTACATTAAAATTTATTTTTTTAAACACATAGCATCTCCGATAGTTATGCTAAATCATAAATGTTAATAATTTTAATAAATTTTTTTACTTCAACTATGTTAAACGATATGCTAAAATAGAGAAAAAAAAGAGAGATATAGATATCTAAAACTATAAATAAGGGAGAGTAATAATATTTAATTTAATTTAATAAATCTTTTTTATTATACATTCAATGTAAAAAATGTTAAAATACGATATTTAAGTCAGATGTAATTTTTTTTAGAGATTTTGACTTTATTATATAAAAATTATAACAATGTTGGAGATGTTCTATAAAAAAAGGAAGTGGTAAAAAAAAGTAAAATTTTATTTAAATATATAATTAAAAATAAAAGTTAAATGATAAAAAAACGAGATGATTAATTAAAATAGTTATTTTGATCATATTGGTTTCACATTTTAGTCATATCTTTTAAAAAATTAAAAAAATGTCACTGCCTTTGCAATTTTCAGTTCCTTGTTTACGGACTTAGCTAAACGACAAAAAATTATATTTTTCAACCATATTTGCAATTTTTTTCAAGTGTTAAAAAAAAATCTTTTTGTCGTTTAACTGAAAATTGAATATAAAATGATATTTGCTTAATTTTATTCAAAGATAAATGGTTAAAAGATGAAATGAACAAATGAAAATGATTATTTTAATTAATTTTATAATTTTTATTTAATTGTAAAAATAAATTTAAAACTAAAAAAACCGAGGAAGGGGCATTTATGTCAATACATTCGAAACTTTAAAGCACTAAAAGTAGCTAGTAAATCAGATCACTTGTGTTTTCAAGCGACAACGTCTTTAATACCAGTTCCTCCTCACCCCCTTATCCTACGCGCCCATCCACACAATCATCTTCAAGATCCAACGGTCCGTATCACGAGTGAGTTACACACCCTTTCAACGCGCGGATCAAAAGCAGGCGTAACTAAAATTACAAAGAATTTATGATATCATCGGTTAAAGCATCCAGGGACATAACCGTAAATAAATACACAGAACAAATAAAAAATATAAAAAGAAAAAATTAAATATTTTTTGCATGAGCAACTTGAAAACAGAGTACAAAACAAGACGAGACGCTTGGCGTGGTGGCGCAACCATTTCTCACCAATTGTTAAACTTCTTCTGTTCTAGAGAGAGAAACCTATAGATACAGATATTATATATATATATATATATATACACATATACATATACATACATGTGTATATATCTATATAGAGAGAGATAGAGAGAACGTGAAAGTTTAGAGAGAGAAAGAAACAGAGGCATCGAGCTTGTGGTTTGCTTTTTGGTAAGGTATCATATTCCAGAATTGATATTTGGGAGATTGAATTTTCAGTCATTTCAAGAACTGGGTTTTGTAGAGAGAGAGAAAAGAGAAGATGGGTTCTTGGAGGAATTCAAGCACATCATCTACAAAGCTTTTATGGTCGATTTTGCCGTTCATGGCGGTCGGTGTTTTTATTGCGGTGACGAAATCCAATTGGGTTGATGGGTCAAGGTATTACCCGTGGGTTCGGAGCTCCGTGATTACTTATTCTCCTTCTTCTTCTGTAATCAAAGATAATTTAGCGGTGGCAGCAGAAGGTCCTGTTTCATTGGGGCTGAGGTCAACGGCGGTGGATGGTGGTGGCGAGGTGGCTGAAGGGCCGTCGGAAGATTATGTGTTTAACCAGACTTCTAATTCTTCTTATCCACCACTGGCTATGGAAGATGATTTGGATGTTGAGTTGCCTGTAAGTTCCTCTGTTCCCATTTTCACTTGAGTTTAATTTTATGTATAATTTAAATAATTAAATAATTTTTTTATTAGTTTAAATAAATTATTTTACATGTAAAAATTTGGAAACACCAAAATTTATCGGAATTAATTAAAATAGACATTTTCAAAATTAAAATTCATTTCTTAACTATTTTTTTTCAATATTCTAAAAATGTTGTTAGGTAATTAAATAATAATTTCTTAATTTACGAAAGGGTCAAAATGTAAACAATAAAATTTCTTGATCAAAGTCCCAAGATCGGGTAATTATAATATATTTTAATAATATAATTAATACTGAAATCTAAAAAATAGAATATTTATTGAATTTAATTTAATTTATTTTTAGAAATTTTAACTTTTAATCGTCCTTTTAGATAATTTATAAAGAATCTTCTAAAAAGCAAAAAGTATCTCCAACATATTCTTTATAATTTTTGTCTAAAACAAAGAACAAAAAGTCAAAATTTTAAAAATAATTACATTTAACTCTTAACATGTCATTTATGGGTTGAGTTCACGTGAGACCAAGAGTTTTTCGTGAGACTCGTAAGATCAATTTATGTTCATTGATCAACTTTATAAGTTAATGATCTAATACTTTAAAGTTGCACGGTGATAATTTTATGATTATTGAGAAGTATCGTGCCATTTATGAATGTCAGATTGTATATATAATCCAAAGATTGATAATTGGTCTTACGGGTCTCATAAACTATCCTTGGTCTCACATGATCCCAAATTTGTTATTTACTTTAGAGATTTTAACGTATATTATACCATACAAATATTATTATCTCAATACACTTTTTATAATAATTTATATAATATAAAACTAATTGTTGGACGTAACTAAAAAATTAATTTCTCTCTCATATTTATTTATTTTAAAATAAAATAAGAATAAAGATGTATTTTTTCTATTTTAAAGAATCTGTTAAAGGTAGAAATATATTGATAAACTTTTTAGAGTAGTAATTGTATTTTATAGGATAAAAAGGGCGGACCATTTTTCCTTTTCTTCTATAATTCTCGATGTTGACGAACATTACTTCTTTTAGTAAAATTGTTTACTAAATCAATTTAAATTTTGTAATAAAAATCTAAAATGGTAATTTTATGTTGTTTTACAAAGATATGATACCAACAAAACCATGGTCATTTTCTTTCGTTTTCATTTGTATATGGAGGTGTAAAATTCTCGTGATTTAATTTAATTTCTATTTTGAATAATGTACTTTAAAATTTCTATTTTTATATATAAGATGTAAAGTTTTAAACATTTAAGTATTCGGGTAACAAGTTGAAGCATTAACCGGTTACTATATTGATGTAACGAATGATGTTGTATTCAACTCAGTATTATCTGTTATTCAACCAATTTCATCCATCACTCGTCACATCAACATGTTAATCGGTTAATGTTTCAATCGGTTATCCGGGTACTTAAATATTTAAAACTTTACATCTTATGTATCAAAATAAAAGTTTTAAAAATACATTATCCAAAATAAAATCATTATTATGAATGTTTCATGACCATTCATGAGAACGTTATTTATACGCTATCATTGGCCTGTTTTAAAACCTTTTTAGTCCATTGGAATCTTTTTCCATTTTATTTTTTCTATCAAATTTAAAATAATATTTTCCCCAATTAGTTAACTAAATTTAATTTATCTTTTTAACTGCTTGTTTGATTTAATAAGAGGGTATTTGGGATTGTTTATTTGAAACGATTTATGTTTTTCTACGAAATCACTTATCAACTTATTATAAGTCAGAAGAGTTTAACTTCTTAAAAAACTCCTTGTTACCGGTTTGACACCGGTATAAGTTGTTTATCCAAACACTCAAAAGCGCTTAATTACTGGTGTCACACCGAAATAAGTCAATAAGTTGTTTTTATAAGCAAAATCCCAAACACCCTTAAATTGATATTACGGAATTGTATTGATTTATGGCATGTTGACAGCCTATTGCCAAGGAAGATGATTTAAACGTGACTTTTACTGGACCAGACCTTTTTGTTTCTACAAATCAAACTGTTGGATTTTCTGTTGATACACGAATCAACAGAAAATACACCAGTTTGGATAAACTTGAAGCGCGTCTTGGACGGGTTCGGGCTGTGATTAAAGAAGCCGAATCCGGAAATCAAACTCATGATGCCGATTACGTCCCATATGGTCCAATGTATTGGAATGCCGCCGCTTTTCACCGGTAACCTACTTTTCAACGGTTGTTATGTATTAAAAACGTGCATTGTATACGATCTGACACTGATTGTGACGCGTATAGGAGTTATTTGGAGATGGAGAAGCAATTTAAGGTTTTTGTGTATGAAGAAGGAGAACCTCCAATATTTCATAATGGTCCTTGCAAGAACATATATGCGATGGAAGGTAATTTTATTTACCATATGGAAACCACCAAATTTCGAACGAAAACCCCCGAAAAAGCGCACGTGTTTTTCCTCCCGATGAGTGCTGCGATGATGGTTCGGTTTATCTTCGAGCGTGATCCTAATGTCGATCATTGGCGTCCGATGAAGCAAACAGTTAAGGACTATGTTGATCTTGTGGCCGGCAAGTACCCTTTTTGGAACCGAAGCTTGGGAGCCGATCACTTCACTGTCGCTTGCCACGATTGGGTGAGTAAAGTTTCAGTTTTCTTTTTAGTACAGTTTTATAGTGACATTTTGAAGAAGTAATGTATAATGTAATGCAGGGTCCGGAATTATCAAAAGCGGTTCCGTACCTATTCAAGAACTCTATCCGAGCTCTATGCAATGCGAATACCTCAGAAGGGTTTAATCCCTCGAAAGACGTTTCAATCCCGGAAATCTTACTTCCAGACGGAACGACACGAGGGATATTGAACGGGCCCTCCCCAAGGAACCGGCCCGTTCTAGCGTTCTTCGCTGGTGGGGTCCATGGTCCAATCAGGCCGATACTTCTAGAGCACTGGCAAGACAAGGACCCCGACGTGCAAGTCCACAAATACCTTCCGAAGGGCGTTTCATACATGGGTATGATTAGACAAAGCAAATATTGCATTTCCCCGAGCGGGTATGAAGTCGCGAGCCCACGAATGGTGGAAGCGCTTTATACCGGTTGTGTGCCGGTGCTCATCAAAGACCATTATGTGGCCCCGTTTAGCGACGTCCTAAATTGGAAATCTTTTGCGGTTATACTCGCGGTTGAGGATATCCCGAACCTTAAAAACATCTTAACTAAAATATCCACGAGACAATATCTAAGAATGCAACGGAGGGGGAAACAAGTCCGAAGACATTTCGAGGTCAATTTTCCTCCGAAAAGGTACGATGTTTTTCATATGATACTTCATTCGGTTTGGCTTCGAAGATTAAACATTCAAATTCAAGGGGTTTCTGATTCTTGACGGGTACGATAAAATGGAACCTGCGAGACTTGATTTTGGTTGTTCTTTTATTTGGGCCAAATGGTGCATAGTAGGAAACTGGAGGGGGTATTTTGTAACTTTATATAATGAAAAAACGGGTCGGGTTTTTTGTAGTGTTTTTTTAAAAAAATATTCATTGTTAAAAAATAGGCTGTTTGTTTCTTGCAAGTGTTGTAAATGACCCGCCCGTATTTGTTGGGTCGGGTTCAAGATTAGTGACTTGTTGGATGTCTGGGGTAAATAGACCGTTAATGGCATGGTAAAATCAGGGATGGATCACACGGTGGCACGTGTCATCGTATTATTTTTTCGTGGAAAAGTAAAAAAAATTAGGTTCGTGAAAGGTGTAATTGTGTTAATTTGTTTTGTGCTACCGTATTTTGAAACTACAATAAGAACGAGTTTTATTTGGTAGAGCTGGTTTACAAGGCTTTTATCTTATCCCATATCCAAGTTCGAATCTTGTTGCTTCGGATTGAGTTATTTCGCGTTGGATTAGTCGGGTTTTTGAGCACTGCTAATTATCATTACACCAAGACGACTTCTTGTTTATCTATTTTGCATTTTGATTTTTAAAGTTTTTTTATGATTTATTTATTTTAATTGCAATTTATCTTAAAAGTTGTTTTATATCTTGATTTCAAGTATACATATTTATTTTAATGATCAAGGTCGATTTTGTTCACCAATTGACTTTTTGTTTTCTCCAATATAAAATCGCTACTTTGTGGATCATTGATCCACCTTAAAGGTCTAGCCGTTCACAAAAATTCATAGGTCTGTCACTGCTCAAGTGCTCATAGTATGTGTATATCTAAGGCTATGTTTGACAAACTAGCTGATAAGCTAACTGGAAGCTGATAAGCTTATATGTTTGTTGATAGCTAATAAGCTAGTTGATAAACAATTAATGTTTGACAAAACTAATTTAATAATGTAAAATGACCAAAAAGAGTATCTTGAAAAATTAATTAATGATAATATTTCAAAATACAATAGAAACAAATATCTAATAATATAATATATTAACTATTATAAACAAGATGGTAAATTTTTTTAAAATAATATAATATATTTATTATAAAATTTTCAAATTGATTATATAATATTTGAATTTGTTAAAATAAATTTTAGAAAAAAATTGTTAATTATGATTTTAAATAACATTACATATAATATGAATAAAAATAAAAATATTCTACCTTACATATCCTAATTAACTAATATTTTTTAAAATATATATACTATATTATAAAGAATTTGACAAAAACTTTTAAAAATCATTTTTTATGTGTAAAGTATTGTTTATTAATATATATTACTTAAAACTCAAGATTACAAGTAGACTGTGCGTAAGTACAAGTTATTAAAGCTCCATATATGAATTTGTGTAACTAACTGCAGATAAACATAATCAAATACAGGATAAACATATAATTTGAAATATAAAAAATCTAAAATATAATTAGGATAATCATTGAGTTCTAACAGAATACTTAAAAACTAAATTATAATATGGAAAATAAATTAAAGAAAATTACATAAAAAATGAGAAATTTTAAATAGTTGATTTGATATTAACATTGATATATTTTTCTTCAAATTTATATTTTATTCAAAAATAAAATTATTAATGCTTTCTTAAAGACACATAAAATCGTATTATAACATCGATAGAGAAAAAAATAATAAAATAGAACATTAAAATCGAGATATGTCTCGTTGCATTGCGCGAGTACTCTTCTAATATTTAATTATTAAATTAAATATTTATTCAAATTATTTAACATGTTTTTTAATATCTCTGAAATAAGTATAACGTTAATCTTTATGTTACATAAACATTATTAAAATGTTATATTTGCATTTTGATAACTAAATATATTTAACAATAATTAAAAAAAGATAATGTCAAAATAATTGATACGAATAATAATTATTGTAAATAATTAATGAATAATATTAATGTATAATGTATAGGTTAAAATTAATTAATAATTGTTTCTCAATTTATATTAATTAATAAATAATATTTGTTAATATTAATATTAGTAATATTTATATTTTATTATAATTAATAGTAATAAATAATAATTAATATTAATGGAAGTTATAATTGAAAAAAATGACAATATACTACGAAAATGCTACTCTAAGGCTACGTTTAACAAACTAGTTGATAAGTTACCTTGTAGTTATAAGTTAGCTGATAACTGATAAGTTAGTTGTTAGCTTATAAGCCATCTGGTAGATGATGAACAAATCATATTTGATACAACTAGTTGATAAGAATGTAAAATAATAAAAAAAATATATTTTAAAAAATTAATCAATTATAATATTTTAAAATGTAATTAAAATAAATCTCGAATAATATAATATAATAACTAATACAGACAAAATGATAAAA